GGGATTTGAACTCTGATCTCTCTGACCCGAACCCGAGCTCTTAGCCAGACTCCGCTGCTTCCTGGGGTAGAAATGGCATCAGGGCTCTTACACCTGCGAGCGCGTGGTATGTTCATTCATGTCCATGATCTCCTCCCATCCTTACACCAGCCGTGATCAGGGCGGGCAGGCACGGCCATCCCATCTTCCAGACGGAGCTCGCTCAGCGCAGTGCGATGGCCAGTGTGGCGTCCACAGCGGCGTGCAGCCGAGGCGGGCCTTGGAGCCGCCCTCTCCACCCACAATTTGCCGCCGTCTCCTCTAGTTCACTAAGATCCGGATCGCCAGGGAGGAGAGCAGGGGTCTGGCCCACTCATCCTGTGCTTCTCCCTCCCTGCTCTTTAACGTCTCTCCCTGCAGCCCAGCCCTGACCTGACCCCGTTGCTCACTCTCCGGCGGCTCCATTCCCACCCGCGGCCTGCTCGCCCTTCCCGTGCTGTGATGGCCGGGCCCATCACACGGGGTGGCGTGCGGCCGGGCCCCTCGCCTGCACTTCTCCGTCACCGGCAGCTCCCACGAGGGCTTCCCTGGCCACGTCGCGTGAAGTGGCACCCGGCCCTCTCGGTCCCTCTTCACTTAAATTTATTTCTCTTTTCATCACTCATGGCCACCTACGTTACGTTACGTTTCTTTAACTTTGAAAAACGTGCCTTCCTTGCTCTAACCAGTTTGGCTCAGTGGATAGAGCGTCGGCCTGTGGACTCAAGGGTCCCAGGTTTGATTCCAGTCAAGGGCATGTACCTTGGTTGTGGGCACATCCCCTGTAGGAGGTGTGCAGGAGGCAGCTGATGGATGATTCTCTCTCATCAGTGTTTCTAACTCTCTATCCCTCTCCTTTCCTCTCTGTAAAAAAAAATAATAATAATCAATAAAATATATTAAAATTAAAATTAAAAAATGTGCCTTCCTCTCTAGAATGTAAGCTCCTTGCAGACAGGGATTTGCCTCTGAGAGCCTGGCTGCAATTCCTTTTTGGCATAGATTTAATAGATGACCCTAAGACACATCCCTGCTTACAGGGAGGATGTGGTCAGGAGTGGCCATCCCTGAGCCGTGCCCGGAATTCTCCGGTTCCAGGAGGAGCCCCTGGCAGTGCTGTGGAGGTGAATGCTGCCCATGTGTCTATATGAGCCCGCTGTGTGGCACGGGCACCACCTCCTCCCTTCGCCCGGCCCCCTCCCAGTGAGGCTGTATCCGTGCACTGGTGGCTGAGTGAGGTCACCGTGATGCATTTTGGGAATCGTCACGTGGTTCATAGACATTTGAGTTGCTCTGAATGCAAACCTGACATCATAGGGAAGGCAGCAGCAAACAGCACGTGCACAGCGAACAGGCAGAGACTGTCTTATTGATTAACAGATGAGGCCTCTGTTATCGATCAGAGCTTGCCTAGGACATTTATCACTTTTAATTTCAGGGATGCCAAATATTTCTGCCTCTGAGCCAGCCATTACAGAGGCCGTTTAAAGGTGCAGGCCGCCCTGGGGGAGGGGGCTGCTGCCTCGCTCTGCTGGCCTGAGTGTCCTGGGACTACCTGCTTGGGCCATAGGGCTACCCTGGAGGGAGTTGGCGCTGGGGTGGGGTGTGCTGAGCTCTTGAATGGGAGCTGATGTCCGCAGCACCCGTGTGTGAGGAAGGCTCTGGCCAAGTGGCTGAGGATGGAAACTTGCACACACTCAGCTCAGTTTTGTGACTCCAGCATGATAGGCCTGGAGGGGGAGGGCTTGGAGGATGCCAGCTGTGGTCAGGTCAAGCCAAGCCGGCGGCTGCCTCGGCAGCGAGCGCTGAGGTGCCGCCTTCCTCCGCGCTGTCTGGTGCACACATCCGGCCCTTGATGTCCCACCTGCCTCCTGCCCTTCTCTCGGTCATTAAAGCGGCCCAGACACCACATCCAGGGCTGTCTTCTAGGAACTCCTCCCACCACATCCCTTTGAAGCGGGGCTCTGGCTTCCTGGGGCTTCCCGGCCCCACTTCCCTCCTCAGGCCCCTTCCCCTTCTCTGGGGAGCCATGAGAACTGATAGAACCAAAGAAGAAATACAATGAAAATCAGATCCCTTACAGACACACGGAGAACCATCCTGGCTAACGATTGGGGCTGGGGCCGCTCTGGCCCGTCCACTCTCTGAGGCTCATGCTGCGTCTCCAGGCTCCATGCCTGCCAGCTCTGTGCCACAGGGCGGCTGGTGGATGTCAGGCCTCCCGGCTTTCTTCAAAGCTCTGCAAGCCCCTCCTGGGTCCTGGGATGCCCTCCAGCTTGGAGGGAAAGCCAGAGGGTCATGCTGCTCTCCCTGCTCCTGCAGAAGCCGGCTCCGGCCACCTAGAACAGATGGCAACGCTTCCTTTTAAAGCCCTGAAGGAAAAGTTCCTTCGTATGGCTCCTAGGGCATTTTATCACACGCTCACTCTGTCAGTCAACTAACATCTACTGACCTGCTGAAGGTCAATGCCCTATAGGGCCTGACAGTCCAGACCTCCTCGGGCTCCTTAACCCCTTCACTGGTGAGAACTGGTTACTGGTGTTTAGTTTAAGACTGATGGACAACTTACATTCTGAGTTCTACCTCTTAAGGGTGTGCTGATACTCCTGGTTTTTAACGTTTAAAGAGCAGTAGAACCATTTTTTCCAAATGGAATTTTACACAGAACCTTGATACAGTCAAGGGGTAAGTTGAATTTCTACTTCTTTGATTTGAGAGAAGGCAGCCAGAGCTCACCTCCCTGCCCAGGAGGCATGTCTGTGGGGGCACCAGGAGGCTGGAGGGCATGGGCTGCAGAGCAGAGGCTCTGACATGGGCTGCCAGCTTGGGCTCCACCTCTGCTGCTCCTGAGGGACCCGGGCCAGCTGCTTCAGCCGCCCCAGCTTGAGGCTCTCGGATGCTAAAGGGGGTAGTAATGGCGTGAGGTTTAACAGGTTTTAGGATCTAATGAAAGCGAATGTCCTAAGGACTTAGCATCCTGCAGTGTATGGTAAAGTCTCGGGAAACCTGAGATGCTTTGAAAACACACTGGATTATTTCTGCTACAGCATTCTGCCTCTTAGGAACCCTGATAGAGAAACTGAGGCACAGGCACCCTTAGGGAGCTGCTTAGTCATGCCGGGAGGAGCAAAGGCAGCGGCAGGGGAGGGAAGAGCAGTGAGGGCCGGGTGCTCGGTGCATGCTTTCTCCAGTTTTGTCAATAGAAAGGGCCTGGAATTGATAACAAGTGAGACCAGGTGTCACTCAAGCCCGCAGACTCAGGGAGGATTGAGTGGTGCCAAGGGGCAGTGAGGACAGCTCCCTGCTGAGGCCGGGAAGCCGAGGAGAGGAATTAGAATCAGTGAGGGCCACTGGATCTTCTTGAGCAAGGAAGTGTGAGAGTCACGTGACCGTCAAGGGGAGCCTGCATCTACTGGTTGGCTCCAAGGGCAGTGGCCACCTTGAGTGCTCGGTGACAGTGATGATGGACAGGCAGAGGAAGAGCAGCATCCAGCAGACTCTTTTTTTTTTTTTCTTTTGAGAGAAAACCACCAAGGCTCACACAGGTGCTCTGTGGCTGAGATAACATCTTTAAGACGATGAGCAAGCAGTAAAAAGTCCCGTTGAACTTGATGTTGTGACATTGTCGCTTGGAGCCTTGTGAATAGTGGTTCCAAAAAAGTTTACCAAGTTGAATTGCACTGAATCGATGAGTTGCTCCCACAAGTCGGTACAGTCATGGGTCCCCCTGGGGGTGGAGCCGATGCGTGCTCCCTCCCTCGGGAGCCGCGTGTCCGGAGACGGAGACGGGCCCACAGGGGTTGGTAATGGAGCACGTGCGTCTGAGCAAAAAGAAGGGCTCCCTCCCCCAGGCAGGGGACAAGGGTAGGGAAGCTGATGAGTGAATGAGGAGTAGAGACCGCTGTACCGAGAGGCCGGGACGAGGGGCGAGAATGTCAGAGATGGGGGTGCAGAAGGGGTGCGGAGACCTTGTGATGAGGAGGACTCAGCTCCTCCCACAGCCGGAGCAGCTCCTCCCAGGGCTGGAGCCTGGAGAGCAGAGTGAGGAAGCAGAGACGAGGCAGGAAAGCGAAGCACACCCAGAAGCGCTTTGTGCCCTGGCCGGTGGCTCAGTGGTTAGAGCGCTGGCCCCAGCACCGGAAGGTCACTTGGTTTGGTTCCCAGTCAGGGACCCATGACTGGGTTGTGGATTCAGTCCTGGCCCCTGTCAGGGTCCGAGCGGGAGGCAACCGATTGATGGGTCTCTCTCTCCTCCTCCTTCCTTGCCTTCCACTCCCAAAAAAACCAAGGGGAAGGATGTCCTGGGGTGAGGATTAGCAGACAAACAAAGAAAAAGAAGCGCTTTGTGAGCTATCAGGAGGCGGTTGGACTTTACCCAGAAGGCAGTAGGGAGTCATTCCGGTTTTTAAGTGGCCAGCTGTATGAGTGGCTGGGGAGCTGTGGGTTTAGCTTTGGACACATAGAGGTAGGAGTTATCCAAGTAGAAGTACGTCAGTAATTCCCTTAAAGTTAAGGTGACCACACATCCCGCTTTTGGTGGGACAGTCCCGATTTTTAACAAATTTGGGACTTTTTAAAAATGCTGCGGGACATGGGACAAATTGTTAAAAATTGGGACTGTCCTGCCAAAAGCAGGACGTCTGATCACCTTACTTAAAGTGTAATCTAGGCAGCAGAGCACCCTCCACCCCCTACTCCCCATCCGCACCTGGAGCAGCTTGTCTCTTTTGTCTTAGTCACTCTGATTTTGCTCCCTCTTCTCACTGGGAGGGCCTGCACGGGGCACTTAGCGTTCATGTGGGCAGTGGTTCCAGCGTGAAGGAGGGCTGAGCTGGGCCGGCTGCTGGGGCCTTGGATTCCCTTGGACACGTCACAGGTGTTCACCCCTGCGCCAGGCCCACCTGCATGGTGTGGGCCGAGGACCCCACCTCCTGATGGGATGCCACTCTAGGAAATGACTAACCACCTCCCCTTTCTTTCAGCGGGCGCCAAAGCCTTCGTCTGCGATCAGTGCGGTGCCCAGTTCTCGAAGGAGGACGCCCTGGAGACACACAGGCAGACCCATACAGGTGAGTCGGCTTCGATCCCCCTTCTCCAGCTCCTGCACAGTGTGACCGCACATGGAGGTGAGGCAGCCCGGCCGCACCCGCTTCCAGCCAGGCGACATCCAGGCATCTCCCGGGGACCAGTGGGGGTGGCTGGGCAGGTGTGGCTTTGGCCCCGAAGAGCATTGCCCTGGATTAGGCCGAATCTCTGTCTCTAACAGGCCCCTGAGCTCCATCTTCTCAGAGACCTCTTGCACTTTTGTCAGGATCTTTGAACGTCCACGATGTTGTCTAAGCATCCCCGTCCTCTGAAGGGTCAGGAAACCCGTTATCCCTGTGACCAGCTCTGACACCCTTGCACAGCCCAGTGGCTGGTCCCCCATCTGCGAGGGTAGAGTCCTGGACTACAGGAAAGCAGTCTGCACTCAGGGTGAACAAGCTCAGCACTGTCCTCGTCATGGGTGTGCCTCCCACTTACGGGACACTCCTGAGGTGCCAGGCACGGGTCTCAGTGTCCCTGCCTGGCCAGCCTCTCAGTAAACGTGTGAGGTCGGAGGTGACTCCCAGGTCAGAGATGAGGAAACCGAGGCTCAGAGGACGGAGGTGACTTGCCTGGGTGAGTGAGGACGGGAGTGGACAGCTTAAACCTCCTGGGATTAAACCCAGCTCACCTCTTAGCTCTGCCACTTCCTGTTTGTGGGACCATGGGAAAGTTACTTAAACTCCCTCAATTTTGGTTTCCTCACCCGTTTGGAAAGTGGAGTAAGGACAGTCCCTACCTCACAGCATAGAGAGTTGTAGGGATTAAATAAGATGTTCTATTTGGGGTGCTTTGCAGGAGGTTTGGTGCTTAATAAGCATTCAATTCATAGTAATAGATGTATTTAATTTAATAAGTATGTGTTGCATTCCTACAACATTCCTGGCACTGTTGGGCCATTGAGGGATAGTGACATAGGTGAGAGGCAAAGCTGCTCATGGTACTGTGACCTAACAGGGCGAGCATACAGGCAAATAGGTGTCTGATACCCTGCACAGTATCATAAGTGCCAGTAAGAACACGTAAAGCAGGGTTCGGGTGGAGAGTGATGGGGGGATGGTTTTAATGAAATGGCCCGGGAAGGCCTCCCTGAGAAGGTGGCATCTGAGCAGAGTCCTAAAGGCAGGGAGGGAGCCGCACGGAGCTTTCAAATGCTAGCGGACCACAAGCTGATCAGAGACTTGTAGTTATAAAATACAAAGAACTCTTATGACTCAGCAATAAAAATAGAAATAACCACCATTAAAAATGGACAGAGGATCCGATAGACATTTCTCCAGAAATAGACCAGTAGCCCAGGGAGGGACGCTCGGCCCCGTGAGCGTCAGAAACTACAGATCAAAATCTCAGCGCGGGCCGGCTTCCCCGGAGCAGGATGTGGCTGTCACAAAAGTGCGTCGGCGAGGAGGCCGGTGAGGATGTGGAGAAGTCAGAGCCCCCCCGCTGCTGGTGGGAGTGCGGACTGGACGGGCGCTCTGGGAAAACAGTCTGGTGGCTCCGCCAAAGGTTAAACACAGTCACCGTAATGCAGGGCAGGGCCACTCCTAGGGGTGCACCCAGGAGGAACGAGCACACACGGGTACACAAGAATGTGGGCACACGTTTATAGCAGCATTATTCACAGTCGTCAGAAGGCAGACTAACCAGTGTCTGCCCACTGATGACTGGATGAACATGCCATGGAATACTATTTGGCTGTGAAAAGGAACGAGGTACTGATACATTCCACACACAGGTGAACCTTAAAAGCATCGCGCTCTGTGAAAGAAGCCACATGGTATCCGATTTCACGCATGTGAAACACCCGGAGGAGGCAAGTCCATAGACAGAAAGGAAACGGGGGTTCCTTTTCGAGGGAAAATGTTCTAAAACTGTGATGGTTACACAACTCTGAATGTATTAGAAACTATTGAACTGTGTACAGTCACTCGTAATATGGGTTGGAACTGCGTGTCCACTCACACACAGGTCTTTTCCAGGAAATGGCTGTGCTGTTTGTGCTCTGTGGTTGGGAGACCGCGGATACGGAGGGCTGGCAGTATGCATTGATCTATGCCATTTTACATAGGGGACTTAAGATCGTGGGTCCTGGGGGACAACTGAGTTTTGGGGAGTTAACAGTTATACACGGATTTTCAACTGCAACGGAAGGTCAGCGCCCCTAGACCCCCGTTGGTCACAGGTTAGCGGTGCTTCGAAAGCATGAATTGTACAATGTGTGGTACGTGAATTACATCTCGGTAACGCTGCACACACCTGCATACTCCATGCACGTGCACACACCTGTTTCAAGTGTCCAGTTCAGCGGTTTCGGTATATTACTCTGTTAATTTTTAAGGCAGTGGTAAAACATCTGTAACATGAATTCGCCATTTCTAACAGTTTTTAACTACCGACCCCAGCCTGTTTTCAGAGCCTGGGTTTTGCACTGGCTTTGGAAGTCAGCATGTGTCCTCGGACCAGGGACTTTCTAGGACTGATGAAGTGACAAGAACCTGAGAGAGGTCAGCCCTTTCCGGGAAAGGGTGGTTTACTGTTCAAAGAGAGGTGATTGGAAAGAGCCTGGAGTTGGAGTCAGAAGTCTAGGGTGGGGCTCTAACCCGCGGCCTGGTAGGGGAGTCACCTTGTCTTGTTGCTCGTCTTTCTGCCCGTCAAGTCCCCTCGCCTGCGGGAGGAGTCTAGTGGGTCCCTCCTGCGACACAGGTAGGCCCAGCCCCTCAGCCTCCTTTTGCTTCTCCTCCAAGCTGAGTACTTGGATTGCGTGAAAGGGGAAACAGTTGAGCCCCAATTAAGGCCGAGAGACCAAGGTGGGTGCTCGGAGAAAGGCGCCCTACCCTCCTGGGTGTGGTGTGGGCACGCTCCCCCAGCGGAGAGGGACGCCTCCTAGTGCCACCGGGCAGAGGTGAACAGCGACCTATCCTCAGCAGAGGGCTGGCACCCAGGCAGCTCTTCCTGACACATGGCAGAGTTCAGGTGTCGCTTTTAGTGCTGTTTCCACAGAACCCACACGGCTTCAGCCTTCTCTATAACCAGTCATTGGAGAAACACAACTTGAAATTCAGTTGTCATCTTCGTTCTCAAAAAGGGACTTCAGGGCGGGAAGAGGCCTGGTGGTGAGGAATGCTGGGAGGGGGGCTGGGGAAGCCAGCGGGTGCTGGAGCTGTGGAGAGCCAACAAGAAAGCAGGAGAGAGCTCTGGAAAGGAGGAGGAATGGAGGCCCCGGAGAGTAAAGTAATGGGAGTGCCGCCTTATACTTCTGATTCCTTAGTTTATAAAACTCTTTCCTGTAGTAAACCCATTTAACAGAGGAGAAAACGAAGGTCTAGAAGCCACCCCCTAGAATAGGGGTGTCGAACTCAATCAGAGAAGGGGCCAAAATCTAAAATCCAGCCTAAATTGCGGGCCGAATGGTTTACTGAACAGTCATAAACTGTCATTGTGATGGAAACGCAGCGGAGTGCAGTGATGACAGCGCAGTGCGGGCCACATTGCAAGGCCTGGCGGGACGGATTTGGCCTGCGGGCCTTGTGTTTGACACATGTGCCCTAGAAGGTGGAGAGCTGGAACTTGACCCAACTCCAACGCCCATGCTCTTCCCACGACTCCTCAGCTGCCTGCACATTGATTTGCTGTTTAAAGAGAGCATGTCAGAGACCATTTAGCTCATTGATCTCTGATCCGTTTGATTAAGAATCCTCAACTTGCCCTACCCGATTTGGCTTAGTGGATAGAGTGTGGTCGGCCTGCAGCCCGAAGGGTCCTGGTTTGATTCTCGTCAAGGGCACGTACCTCGGTTGGGTGTGTGCAGGAGGCAACTAATCAATGTTTCTCTCACATCGATGTTTCTCTCGGTCTTTCCCTCCCTCTTCCACTCTCTCTCTTAAAAAAAAAAAAAAAAAAAAAAAAAAATCAATGAAAAAAATCCTGGGGTGAGGATTAAAAAAAAAAAGAAGCATCTTCAGCACCCCGATGCCCACGTGCCCCTCCTGAGAGGATACAATTTCCCTGAAACAGACTGGGTCTGGAGTTCCCTGGCTCAGGCCGCCCTGGGGAACTCGCAGAGTTAGCGTAGCATTGCGTCAGATGAGTGATGGTGGGCCGTACAGGTATTCTTGACACTAGAAATTTAGTAAAAAGTATTTCCTTTTACATTTTAGCCAAAAACTGTCATCTTTTGACCCTTTTGTTGTCGTTGTTAATCCTCACCTGAGGATATTTTTTCCATTGATATTTAGAGAGAGTGGAAGGGAGAGGGAGAGACAGAGAGAAACATATCGACTGGCTGCATCCTGCAGGCGGCCCCAGAGATTGAGCCTGCAACCAAGGTATTGAATACATACCCTTGACCAGAATCGAACCCAGGGACCCTTCAGTCTGAGGGCCGACACTCTCTCCACTGAGCCAAACCGGTCAGGGCCAACATCTGACGCCGCTGAGCCTGGAAATCTGTCACGGAGTGTGTGACCCCACCTTGTCCCCTCCCTCCAAGGTCTTGGTGAGCTCAAGCTGGGGCCCTGGGAGGCCACACGGTGGTTGGGCTGGGCTCCGGCTTTGTTGCCACACTTCAGCGTTCTGTTTTGGTACAGGGAAGACATCGAGGAGGTAAACAGAGATCACTTTACACCTTTTATATTATGACAAATACATATTGCAAAACACTGCTGCTTTCAAAATGTTTGGGTGGCAGAGCAGTGAGGAATTAGCAGCTACACAGCTCCCGAGATGCTGGTACTTCATTCACACATCAGAACTTTTTGACACTTTTCAGCAAAATAGAAAGTGAGAAAGCACACACACACACACCACACACACCCCACATACACACCACACGCACACGCACGCGCATACACACATGCCCAGCGCACCACTTAGATTCTATATCAGGAAGGTCTTAAATTAGGAAGGAGTTCTTTAAGTGCAGATAAACTGATAAATACCATTAATGGCTTAATTTATACTGTGGGTTTGAAATTTGACACATGGA